GTGAGATGAGGAGCAGCCATAGCTGGAGCCATTCCCACAGCAGTCTCCCTCCCTCTCGTCAGAGCATAATTTTTCCTCAAATGAGGGCGAGTTCCCACAGCAGCCCCAGCACTGCGCCAGCTCACATCATGGGCCACCCTGCAGTGGGACCAACGGTCCTCCATGTCTCCCCGTGGAAGCGAGCTGTCAGTCCCTCTTCCCAGGGTGAGGGTTGAACAACTCCGAATGCAGAAGAAAGCCATGGGAACAAGCGAGGGATTCACCCCCCTCCGCCATCCCACAGCTTTGTGCTCACGAGATTCAGCTTTGGGGAGATCCGTAATTATCTATTTCCAGTGTCTTCAGCAGAGTGTGAGGACACAGCAAGCACGGGATTCAATGATTCCTCAGTGACCTTCAGGCACCATGGATGTCCTTTTAAGGGGAACTAAGATAGTCTACAGAGGCTGGTAGCTGATCTGCTCTGACTTTTCGATTCTACATTACATTGCCTTTAATTTACTTTAAAAGTGGGATATGATGTTATCATTAAAATGGGATACCTATGATACCGATCCCTTCATTACAGTGCAATGATCGAGAGTAGCAGAATAAAAGGTAACAATAGCAAAGTAAATTGCAATATTTTGCAATATTTTCAGCCTGGGTTATTTTCTAAAGACACAAATCATCCTCCTCCTGAGCTCATCATCTTCCTCCCAACAGTGGGCAGTGCTGGGAGGCAGCACTGGTATGCACTGGTGGGATTGCGCCCGGCGCCTGCCGCTGTTTCGTGTCTCAGTCGTCCACAGCCCAGCACCTCCTCAGCTGGGAAACCATGGTCTGAGACGGGTGTCTTGCTGTGGAAAGAGTTCAGAATGGCTCCCGCTCTGACAGCTAAAGTCAAAACACAGCAGAGCTCGAAGAACATGTTTCCACATAAAACGCCCTTTGGCTGCAAGCAGCCGCTGTGGCTACACTGAGAATGGCTTTTATTTGAAGCATATTTATTGACATTTGCATCCCCTCCCCGGGGATGCCATGCAGACAGCTAGAGTCCTGTGTCCTCGTCAGTCCTTTTCACTCCTGACACGAACTGACGTGCTGGGGGTACCCTCCGCCCACAAGAGCCCAAAACTGCCCCAGGGACCCCACTGCTCTTGGTACTCTCAACACACGAAGGTAGCTACTTGTGGTGATTAACAGTGCCCGAGATCCTCCCAGTTCACCCTCTTAAGACCTTCAGCAGTGCCTGAAGCAGAGGTTACATCTTTTAATGTCTTCATCTCGCCAGTCCATTGCCATCGATTACACTGTTGTGAGACCCATCACCTGGAGGTCTCCCAAGCCGCTCTGCTACCGCCTGTCTGTGTGGTATCTCAGTCGCTGATAGCCATCATGAAAGATCATCCATTTTTCAACACCGATGGCAAGTTTTCAACCAAATGCCGACTCTGGTTTAGGATTTCTCCTCCTTAGCTTTGGGATTTTACCAGCAGAGGGCAGGCCAGGATTGCACCACAAGTGGAAAATCGCAGCCACGCAGTTGGGAGAGCATTTCACCCAGGGCAGGCAATAGCAGAACTGAGATAACCAACATTTTTCACCCAGAGGAATTTGGCAGAGCAGGACTCACTAGCTGCTAGGGCTTGGGAGAGCTTTGGGAGAGCAGGACTCGCTGCACAGCAAATCTCCCGCAGCCTGGAAACGGCCCTGTCCCCTCCAAGTAGCAGGCGAAGGCTCATTCATCAGGACCCTGTTTCGTTCCAGCCTTGCCGCTGTTGCAACTGGAGGGATGTTCAACACTGCTGCATGCCACCGAGCAACTCCAGCCGGACTGCGCCAAACGCAGCCCACGCGTTCCCATAGGCCTCTTCATTATGTTTTTTTGCCTGAAGAAGGAGGATGAAGAGAGTGCGTGGAGAGTTCGGGGATTTCCCCTACAGGGTAGATCAAAAGTTGACAGGATGTGTTAGAGAAGACATTTAGGCTAAAGAAAACCCTGGGGAAAGAAATGAAGCTCCACTCCCGGGCTACTGCTGCTCTAATCACCATGTTGCTGTGGGGAGAAAACCCCACGGGCCTGAACCGATGCCCTCCCACCCGCTCTGGCTCCCGTTTGATCAGCAGAGATCAGGAAGTGGTTGGTGTTTTTTTTCACTGTCTCTGTTTTGTTTTACCACTGTAGCCCGCGGGGCTGGTTTGTATGCCTGCCTCCCACGGAGGGTAATTTGGTTCTTCTCTCTGGCCCAGGCCACACCAGAGCACTCAGCTCCCACCACCGCCTCCAGCCGGGTCGGGGCAGCCCAGGCACCAGTGGGATGACCCATCATCAATAGCTCTATTATTGCTCTTGAAGTTTCTCTCCGCTTCCAGACGGATGCTGCGTTACTCCATCACAGCTGCAGTTGCTCCCTTCCAGCAATTCCCAACACAGCACTTAAGGCAGGGATTTATGGGCGGTTTTGAAAGGCATTTTGGAGCGAGGAGGAGTTATGGGAAAGGAAGTCGAATTCCCACCATTCCCCAGAAAATTCTCCCAGCATCTTTCACGAGAAGGATCATTTACTGGTCCTTTCCTCAGAACAGAGACAAGCTCTCAGCTGTGGCTCTTTGTTTAGCCCAAAGCATTTCCCGACAGCAAGAAGCAGCGGGGGTTATTCTGGTCCTGCTTCCAAAGGGTCAGGAGACCGAGGCGAGCCCTCGGCGTCTGGCTGCAAGGCTCTGCTGGACCAGATTTGTTCCCTGACATTTTTGTGGATGCTGGTAGCTAAATGAAATTATTTGTTCTCAAGACGCAGATTATTGCCAACCTCAGGGCAAGCATTGCTGACTATCCGTCTGATTTTGACTCACGGAGTGGTTTGCAAAGTAAAAAGCCATGGGACCGGAGTTACCAAGAGCAGCAGCTATCAAACGACCAGCAGGGATGTTACCTTACAAACTACAGCTCACCTTTTTTGAAGCTTTTCAGGAACAAAAGCTCACCTGCTGCAGAACTCGCAGTCATCCAAGCAGGCTGGATTAGCAGAAGAGATTCACATCAACACTACGTTTCACAACCAGGACAGGGGTTTGAAAGACTTTATTTGACACCTTTGCTGGATGTCACAGCTCGTGAATCTAACAGCTCTGCACAGTGTAAAGTGAGGCCGGGCTACCTGCTGTGAGCTCTAGCGTTCCGACCAGCTGCAGGAACAACCAGGGTCCGCGAGGACTCTCCTCTGGCTTTATTAAAAGGGAATATATTGTTCCTGGCTGATTCTGGCACTTCAGGCCAAGGGTGAGGAGAAGTAGCGGAGGGATTTCTGTGTGTTAAGTGTGATGACTTCCATCAAAACAACTGGGAGGGACTCACTTTCAAAACAATAGCAGATACATACATTGACATGCACATGGCAGATACAATCTGCAGGAACGCAAACACCAGCTCATCCACACAGTCTAACCGGCTGCGCGTTTGACCTGAGGCGTGAGGAGAGCCTCTCCCATTCAAGAGAGATGATCTCCCTCTTTTTTACCTTTCTTTGCACTGGCCTTTCCACACTTTTCTCTCCTTTCGTGTCACAGTGCTGTAGAGGTGGGCGAGACTCTGTGGGGTGGGCATGCAACTGGGCACAGGCTATTCTGCAGGTGTATCCCAGCAAGTCAAGGCACAGACACAGGGAGCGGGGACGGTTCAGACGAGGGGGAGCACTGGGAGACCCTGCCCTGGCCAGCGTGGGAGTTAGGGACAAGGCACAGGAGCAGGGTGGCTCGAGAGCTTCAAGTTTCTGTTCCTTTGTGCCCAAAGAAGAGAGGAGGGGAGGACAGCTGGAAGAGCAGAGGTGTATCTGCTGCATCAGTTATCTAGGGGCACGCAGGCAGAAAAAGCTCTTGGGGAATCGGGGCAAGTGCAGACCCAGAGCTTGCAGAGCTCTGCGGGGAAACCTCAGTGGGTTTTGGTCCCGGCCCAGGGAGAGGGATGAGCCATGTGAGACCAAAACACGGCGCTGAAGAAAGAAAACAAAGACATTGTGGAAGGAGAGGGTGAGGGATGCAGCGCTACGAGAGAACGCGGGAGGCACTTCAAATGCAGGCTGGGCTGACCCTTTCCCCCCCTTGAGGAGAGACGGCTCCAGCGGGGAGACTGGCAGAGGGAAAGGCCTTTTCTTCTCATTTTGGCCATCAGAGTTTTCCCCTCCGTGACAGGCGTCTCTTTGAAATCCCCTGTCTCGCCTCGTCTCGCCTCTTCACACCTCGGTGCGGAGCAAGGGCTGCAGAAGCCTCCCTCTGCCCAGGCAGCCTGGCCGGCTGCTCCTGCACGGTTTGTGCAGGGACCCAGCACAGGCCCTGCAGACACGGCAGTATTTCAGCTCGGCTGTGGGAACGAGCTCTGTTAAGCTCTTGCCTCACTCCACCTTAAGGGCACATAAGTGGGAAAAGCTGGTAATGCGGCGAGGAAAGCACGGGGATTAGCAGGCAGCCAGTTCGCTAAGGGAGCTGGGGGGGTCTAGCCTGCCTCGCGGGGTGCCAGCAGTGCTGGGGAGGGGGGAAGAGCTGCATCCGTCCCGCCACACCAAAATTAGGTGCTGCAGCTGGGGGACACATCGCAGGGAATCAGCGTGAGCAAGTCTCTGTCTGCCAGCTCTGAGTCCCCAAGGAAATACGACAGTATTTCAAGGCTGGCTGTTTTCCAAAGGAGAGCAATGCCGGGCATCACAGAGGGGTTTGCTGGAGGAGGGACGGTGTTGGGATTTGCATGTGCCCCCTCCCTCGTAGCCAGAAGGGTCTGGAGTACAGCCGCGTGCGGATAAGTGCATCGAATTGGATGTGATTTATGTTTACAGGCATCACGAGGGAGAGGACGTGATGGTGAGGCAAGGAAGGCAGTGCGAGGAGAGAGGGGAGAGTACAGAGAATTTTCTTTATGGATCCTTGGCTTCTGCAAAGCAGGAAAGATGCCTTTTCAGCTGAGTTTGTTCTTAGGTCTGTGGGCAATGAGTGCTGAAGAATTCCTGTCTCCGAAGGGGAGGGGAGGGTCAGAAAGCCCCGATTTCAGTCGCCCAGGAGCGGCAGATCCTGGATGTCCCAACCCTGATCCCGGGTCCCTGCGCAGCAGCGCCCAAGGCGGGTGGCGCCGTGTAAGCCGGTGGAACAGGGATGCCGGTGGAGGCTGGTGAGAAGAGGAACGTTGCGATTTGGCTGCTCTTGGACGAGCCCTCTCTCAATACGCCTGCTGGCGACGGCATCCTAGGCACGGCTGCTACAGCTGCAGACGAGCCTGCGCCTCGGGCCCTCCGGCTGGAAGAGGCCATCCTGCTGGCCAGGAAGCTTCGGCGGGATGGCAGCATGTCGCTGGGGACACGACGAAGCGGGGCTGGCCTCACAGCGGGGCTTGGGTAAGCCAGGGAAGATGCAGTCAAAACAACCGGAGCGGGAGCAGCCTCCCTCCTGGGGATTTGCACGGGGCCAGCAGCGCTGTGTAGGAAGGACCACGGCCACGTCTGGATAGGCAGGAGGGAAGTGGCCACAGGTGAAGGCTCCATTTCGGCCACGTAATTATTCAGATGGGAGAGGAGTCGCAGCCGGATAGGGTCAGCGGCATTTTGGCCCTCGAGAATGCCCAGGTACCTGACAACTTCAGTGAGACATTCACGGAAGCCAATACTCCTGTAATCGACGGCCAGAGCCCGAGCATCTAAGAAGCCTGTAGGGAGAGGACACGGGTGACAGTAAGTCCATGCAGAGCTCAGGAATGTGCTTTGATTTCACTACCCTCTCTAATGCACTGTGTATTTCACTTGAGGCACTTTGCTGCCGTGTGATATTACTGAAGCAGATAGCCGAGTGGGTGTCCGAAAGGACTGGACGTTTGCATGCGTGAGAATAGCATCTGCGGTTATCTCATCAGGATAAAACTGCCAGGGTCATGAAGCCTCTTACTCCAGCATGTGAGACGAGCAAGAGGTTTCATTAACTGTGCTCGGGAAGGAAGATTTTTCCCTGTTGGACTCTATCAGTTACCGTTGCTGGAGACATGACTGCGGGCTAGATGGACACTGAGTCCCTCTTTGCAAATGGACCATCCCCGGTCTTGCAGAACAGGGGGACACTGTGTCTCCTTGATGCACAGCTTAGCACCATTTTCTTCTGTCCGGGTCCCAAACTTTATACTTCATTTAAACCAATGTCTGGCAGAAGGACACAGGACAGTAGCAGAACCACAACTGCTGGGCTGAGAAAGCTCAAAGCCACCGAAATCAAGATAAAACGCGATCGATGGCTGGTTTTTAGGCTTCTGCTCCCTACTTGCAGCTTCGTGAGACGATAAGCAATAAAGCAGAGAATGTCACAGCACAGTGAAGCACTGGACCACTTTGCTTGATGGGGTCTCTCGTGACAATACAGCCCTTTGTTGCAGTGCAGTCAAACTGAATATCTAAACAAATGTTCCAGACCAAGTTACAGCTCTGAACCGAAGCCTGGATGCCAGCAATGTCCCCAGCAAGCCAAAAATGGGTGGTAAGCAAGCCAGAGGCTTCTTTACTGGAGCTGTGATCTCCATCCTGTTAACTGGAACAGGACAGAGGGTCTGTACTGAGGTCTCAGTACAAATAAGACCTTTGTTGAATTTTGCACAGGGCTCCCTCTCTCTTCTTATAACAACCAAGAGACAGAAAAAAAAGAACAGAAAAGGAAAAAAAGCCTTGTTTATTTGCAGAGTCCCCATGCAGAATTCGGCCTCTGCAGGAAATGTATCCCAGGGAGGAGGTAAAGAGTTTAATATCGTTTTGCTGGAAGCAGGCTCCGTTTCTGAGCAGGACTAAGCGCGTCTCTGGCTGGGCAGCTTTTAGCGGGGTGTGTGACAACAGCAGTGGTGCTGTCCCTGTGGGTCTTTGGGACTTGCTGTCCCACATACCCCAGTCTGCCAAATGTATGCACGGGATGCTGACCCCATATGTTAGACATAAGAAAAACAACAGGGCAGGAAACGTCCATCTGCCCTCCTTCGAAAAATATTTCCCTTGGGAAGCAGGCAGGGCAGCATTCGTTTTGGTGCTGGCTGGTGTCAGCAAGGCACACCAGCACCAACATACTGCTTGCTGCTGAGGCTGCTGGGGAATTTTCCTTCCAGGTTTTCACCTTCACCTCACCCGTATGCTTATAAGAGCAGTTCTTACCTGTTCCTCCAGTGGCGTGAAGCATTTTTAAGTGATCTACTGTCATTTGTAGAATTTCTGCTTTCTCCAGCTTGGAAGACCCCTGTGTGTTGGGAGCAGGAAAAAAAGAGCAATTCATCATTTTATGGTCTAGGGTTTTGTGCCTCTCGGGAGCTGGGTTCTTCCCGATGACCTCCTCCCCGAAGCCTTCCTGAAGCCCGAGAGTGCTCAGACTGGAGCAGTGCATCCATTCAGGGCACTGGCTCTAGTTTTTACGTCAAGTGAGTAGAAAATGGAACCCCTTCCCAAGATCCCCCAATGCAAATTGAAAATCCCCATTTCTGTGTATCTTCATATCTGCAAAACACTTTCTGGATTGGATTTATCCTCTCTAGGGCTCCTGAATATTTGCTAATATTGTTTTACTGCCCAGTTACACCACCTACTTACTCCCTGAAGTGATGACGATAAGAAAGATATAGCATTGCTCCAGACTTTCTCATTCTGAGGGCTCTACCCTTAACACTGCTGAAACGCAGCCCACGCAGGAGGACGGATGGAAATCACAGACACACACACACCTGCTTCTCGAAGGCGGTGGGCACCAGGCGCCGCAGTTCGGAGAGGCTGCTGTTGATACGGTCACGGCGCCGCTTCTCAATGATCTGCAGGAGATTTCCAAGTGGAGAGAAGAAACCACGGTCATTTGTGACCACAGCTCATGGGTTTAAAGCCCTCATTAACAGCTGTGGCAGGTTGAGAGAGGCACTTTGAACAGGGCCATATAAGTAAATGTTTTGAGAGCAAAAGCTGAGCAAAGAAACATTAACTGACTGGTATGACAACCTCAGTAAAACTGCTCTCCTCCACCCCTATCCCCACCCCTGTCTGCCAGATTTGAGGTCAAACCTCTGCAAAAAATCTCCAGTTGGCTGTGGGGAGAGTTCTGCAGAAGATGGAGCAGGGAATGGTGTAGTGTCGACTTTGCACTGTGTCCTCCCAGGGAGAACGTGCCAACAGCACCCCACCGCACACAGAGGGTGTCACGGGGAGCCCTGGCACACAGCTGGGACCAGCCTGTCCCCCAAGAGAGAACCAGCACAGCCACTCTGGTCAACGCAAACGAAACTCACCCCTCTCCTCTTCTTCCTGGCTTGTATCTGAGATGTCGTAGTGGGAGACACAGACCTGGAAACATGGCTGGAAAGGAAGAAGAGGGAATCATTTCTTGCGCTAGCTGGAGAGAAACCTCTGTTGCACATGTGCTTTACACAAGTTTGCCATCTGCAGTTTCCCCCCTGCAAATAATGTCTTCTGTGGTTCCCATCTCATTTTTACCCACCACACAGAGCTCAGGAATTGGGGAGAGCCAAGCAGAGACTCAAATCCCACTCTCTTCACTCCGAGAGTCTCCCACCAGCCTGGCACACATTTCCGCACCAAACTGTCTGTCCACTATCAGGCACACGTCTCCTTCAATCTCAGTCCATGCTGGCATCTCCATGGGGCTGGAAAAGCAGCAGCATGGGCTCCGGAGTCGTGGCCTTTTCTTTTCCTCTATGTGTGAACCTCCCGGCTCTCGTGTCTGAGCCTGCCCTGTCTGCAGGGCTTTGCATCTCGGAGCTGCGATAGCGCGAGCGTGGATGTGAGCTCCCACCCAGGGCGGCAGCAAAGGGCTGGTCGCTCCTCAGGGTGAGGCTAACAGCAGCGTTGATGTGGTTTCTGAGGGCTTCCTGGAGAGTCGCTTCACAAACCACAATTTTTGGGGTGGGCCACGATATTCTGAACGCACGGACACCCCTGAACCAGACACAGCAGGGCCAGGCCCCGGGCGGGGGGAACACCCGGCAGGAGGTGATGGAGCAGTGACACTGCCTGTTGGCTGACAGCCCGAGGGACCAGCTCTGGCTCAAGGGACAAGGGACACAGGGCGGGAACAGGCTAAAGAGAGGGGTCCCACAAACCATCCTGTGCCTGGTGGGCACGAGTGAGGCTAAAGACACCAAAGGTCAGCACTAGACGTGCACAGGGAGGCAAAGTTCAATCCTTAGGTCCCCACGGAGGTGAAGTTTCCATAACGATGGATAACCAGCGTGGGAAACTCCTTGGAGCAACCCCCCTCTGCTTGGGGGGAGGCCGGCCGGGCCACCTTCCACCTCCCCCAGGCAAGGTTTCTCCCTCCGGAAAGTGGGACTGGCTCGGGGCTGTTTCTGCGCCTTACGAAACTCAGCGCGGGGATGTTAACACGCAGGCGAGACGGCAGTCTGCAACCCGGGCCAGCACAGCGCTCCGGAGGGACTCAGAGACCGCGTAAGACATACAAATCTGGAAAGGAGCATTTGGGTTCACCCCATCAAATCAAAATATTTTTCAGTTTGACAAAGCATTTTAATAGCAGTCTATTAAAGATGTTTCTGCAGAGACAGTGCTGTCTGTGCAGCAAGCCAAAAACTAGACCAAACTCAGCCCATTAAAATTAGATTTCGTTAGGCCCAAGTGAGGTGCTTTCAGAAGTGGTTTTACACAATCAGACGAAATAACACGTTCTTCTACTGACTGCTCCGCTCATCTCCATACAGGTACCCTATTTGAATGTCTGCTGGGTGGGCTTTCTCTGGGCATAGGTGCTGGCTGGCTTCGCAAGTACAAACATGCGTTGCCAGTATACGTAAACGCACATACGATGAGCACGTATGATGTGGAAACGAGCTCTGCGCGGAGGCTGGGGTGTTACACGTGCTGGGGTAGGTACTGAATTCGCCCGGCAGTGCAGGAACGCCGAGTACGCGCTCAAGGAGGCTGTAACAGTGAATTTTGAAACTCTCTTTGCAGAGCTGTCCGAACGCGTTGCTCTTTGTAAGCTACAGTTCCAGATGTGGATATAAGGACCTAGTTCACTGCAAAATATATTTTAAAAATATGCTGGACAGGTTTGAACCACATAAAAGATACCGTGACTATATTCTCTGATGATTAAAATTTCTGCATTGCTCTTTGCTTGATTTTTTAATTTACAGCATAACTTTGGCTGTTTATTCCAAACAAAAAAGCCAAAAACCAACCCCAAAACCAGGCAGTATCTTGCACTTCTGCAGTGACCCCAGAGTCTAAACTTGCTCCACGCACTGAACCAAGCCTCACACCCGGCGTGACTCATCCCCGCTCGGCAGGGGAACTGGTTTGCCCAAACCACTGGACCGATGGGTAATGGGCTGGGAACCCCGACCAGACAGCCCGACTGCCTCCCTCTGCCCTAATCACTCCACCTCGCTCCCCGCCTGGAAGTGTTTCCTTCACCCGATCTGCCAGTGTCCCATGCAGGACTGCTTTACTCGGGGTGTGAAACTCGTCAGGGCAGGAACGGCTCTTTTGGCCATGTGTTTGCATGACACGAGCAACAACATAAATGTACACAAATACCACCAGATGACAGCGCTGCCCGGTTCTACCACTGGCTTGAGAAGAGAAACATATTAGCAGCACCAGAGAGAGATCAAAAATTCATTGTTAGTGTTCAGTGAAATAAAATATTATGACAATTCCTCTATTTCATCCATCGGGGTACTACAGACTCAGCGTGCTGCACTGATGCAAAGAGCTGGGATAGATTTCACATGCAGCAGTAAGGCAGGTTAAATATTGATGCACTTGGAAGCTGCATAAGGGGTCAGTGAATTTGCACAGGACATTACGCGTCGGCCATGCCCGACTCTGCTGTGACCGTATCAGTGAGAAGTGGGCTCATGAATTTAGTCCCATGAGAACCTGAGTTTGGCACCGGTCAGGGTGACTTCTCCACTCAGGATATCAAGCAGCAAAAGGGAATGAATTCATCTCGCTGGATGCGGAAGGAGTGGGGGGAACATTTGGCTACTGAAACAAGAGTTCAAAAGCAGCTGATTTTTGGACGAGAACAAATAACGGAGCCCTTCCTTCATCCCCAGCGCCGTCTGCACGTTCAGAGCACGCCTGCGAAGGCTGACACAGCATGGGAACCGGAGCCTGGGGATGATGCCCTTCACCAGCAGAGCCCAGGGGACCACAGAGAAGCCTGAGGACATCGCCTGGGGAATCCTGCAGAGGTCCTGTCCTCACTATTTCCCCAAGCAGCAAAGCCCCTGAGCCGAAACAGCACTCAGTGGCGATGGGATGGAGTGGGGGAACTGCACTACTGGAAGCGCACGCTAAAAAGCGGGTACCCCTTGTCAGCCAGGCTGCGTGGGGTCCCCCCTTTATTAAAGATCAAAGCCCCAGTTGGTGCTCTACAAACCCATCAGCAGAGCAGAAGTGTTTCTCATGCAAAACCTCCTCGTTCCATCCACATTTGGATCCGGACAGCTGACGGGTGCCTGTGCTGGGGGGGTGTAGGGGATGCCCCATCTCGGGGTGCAGAGCTGCGAACAACCGGGCTCAGAGCTGCCCTTCTCCCCACCGGGCAGGAGAAGCCAATTACACTTTAATGAGGCATTTTCTTGAACGCAACCAGTTCGTAACACAGCTTTAATCCTTGTATTACGACTTGGCTTTCCTTGCCGGGTCAGTCCTACCGCCGGCAGCAGCCCAGGCTGGAGCGATCCCCCCGCGGGACAGGACCGGCTCAGCCCGAAGCGGTGCCCGGCGACTCCCGGAGCCCGCGGACCCTCCCGCCGGGCCGTGCCCCGGTAAACCCCGAGGAGCTCCGGGACCTGCTGCGAGCGCCGTGCCCGGTGCGGGGGACCCCGCTCCAGCCCTGGCTCCCCGCAGGACACCGAGCTGCCCCCGCAGGAGGGGACCCCAAA